TGTGTAAGGACATCACAAAGAAGTAAATATTATTGTGTTTGTTCGTGTTGTGTTTTGCCTCGTATTACCCATGTATATTCGGTTCGCGTTTGACAGGGGTAGCCTAGTGGTTAAAGCGATCGCTCGTCACGCCAAAGACCAGGGTTCAATTCCCCACATGGGTACAATGTGTGAAGCCCATTTCTGGTGTCACCCGCCGTGATATTGCTGGAAAATTGCTAAAAGCGGCATTAAACTAAACATCACTCATCGCGTTTGACATATACGGCGTTGCAACAGTCAGCTCACAGTTGCATCCATTTGTCTGACCAGGATCCGCTGATGACCAGTTGCCTGAATGCTTAAACTTGCTCAACATGGCAATTATGTCTATGTTGAGGATGTAGTGTTCTTCCAAAGTACTCAAGTAGAGACTGTTATGTTCGATTTGTGCATATAGATAATGTGCCAAGTACACATACCAAAGAGCTGAGAGCGCCAACTTACTACCACGGTCTGTGGATTAGCGTGCACTCCATGTTTCGTGCATTCTCAGCTCCTTCGGGAGTACACAGCCGAGGCTTGACATGTCACACAGATAATCGAATCACTGTTTGGACAATAATTTTAAAAAAATAAAAATTTAGATTTATGCAACCGTATATTGTTTTTATATGTTATGAGTAACTTATATTTCAAATTTGAATGAAATCGGTGAAGAAACGGATATTTTCAGAAAATTCTCCCGCTACCCTCATTACATAAAATACACGAGGTGTATAACATCCACTCGTTCTCACGTGCATACAGAAGAAGCATTTCGCGATAGATCATGCTGATCAACGATGGGAAACGTGACAAAGTCTTGACGTGCCGGGAAAGACTAAGTAATTGATTCGTCACTGCCAGTCATGGTGACCTATATAAATGCATCAGACCCGCCCGTCTTATTACTCAGGAAACATGCTGGATGTGCCACGTGCATTTTCCCGCTGATCACAGCCACACGTGATCATCACGACATACATCTTATACAGGGATAATGTACCGCTATGAGCATTGTGTTGTGATTGCACTTGTCATCGCAGTTCACGTGTCACAACACATGCGATCGTCTTCTATCGTCTCTCCATCCCACTCTCTCTCCATCCCATATATCCCAGATACATTCGTGACCATTCGTGTTATTCCGTAACAAGCCGAATAACGATCTCCTTTGCAAGTTACGAAAAGTGGCGAGTGGCGACGAATGCTCGAAGGGTCGTACTGCCTGGAGAAATGGGTCGTACTGCTTCCCGTCCTGCTAGCTGTGCACTTGTAACTCTTCATTCAAGAAATCATCTTTCACATCAAACCACAGTTCGGTATCACTCTACACGGAACAGTTTTATAAACAAGGAAAAGAGTTTCTCGTTAATATACACGGATGTGGTTTAGCCTAATGTTACACCCCCTTGCTTGTGGGCATGTGTAGGTTGACAATACGAGGAAAAAGGTACAAGTTCCCGGTACCAACACTCCCTGTTATTGCGCTCTACCTGTATTTTTTGTTTGTTGTTTTACGCCACACTCAGCAATATTCCAGCAATATGGCGGTGGTCTGTAAATAATCGAGTCTGGACCAGACAATCCAGTGACGGGCATGAGCATCGATCTACGCAATTGGGATGACACATGTCAACCAAGTTCGAGAGCCTGACCACCTGATCCCGTTAGTCGCCTCTTACGACAAGCATGGGTTACTGAAGACCAGTTCTAACTCGGATCTTCACGGGTTTCTACCTGTAATTATATTAACAGAATCTGTCACTTGAACGTTCTACCCCACAGAATCAAATTAACGGCAAATTTATAACTGTTCGTCCCACCTTTAAATTTAGTATATTTAATAATCTATAAACGGTTTTGTTACCCTTTCTGCCGAAATACTTTCAAGGGTCGTGCCTATAAGATATTACTAGATCGATACTTTGTAAAATTTGTTTAGGTACATAACAGGTGATCGACATACATGAATTTATATTTAAGCCGATCATTACACTAATGATTAGGATCAGCCCCCAAGCATATTTACACAGTCCTATATTCATGAAAAGAATAGGATATCTATAATTGTGTCAGTCCTTAGTTATTGTTGGCGGGGGTTTGTTTAGTCAACAGAGTGCCATATGTTAACAACCATATGTTAACAACCACATGTTAACAACCATATGTTAGCAACCATATATTAGCAAACACATGTTAACAACCATATGTTAGCAACCATATGTTAGCAAACACATGTTAACAACCACATGTTAGCAAACACATGTTAACAACCATATGTTAGCAAACACATGTTAACAACCATATGTTAACAACCATATGTTAGCAAACACATGTTAGCAAACATATGTTAACAACCACATGTTAACAACCATATGTTAACAAACACATGTTAACAACCATATGTTAACAACCATATGTTAGCAAACACATGTTAACAACCATTGTCATAACCGGAATTATTTATCTTCTAGAAGGGTTGACTTGGGCCACGATCAACGGTCCTAGCTGAGCTCTAATTGCGGGAAAGTCCGTGATCGGCAAGATTTGTATCATGCCTGCGATATTGTTTATCTACATCTCCTAAGATAATAAGCTTGGATAATATCCTGCTGATATTCAAACAATAAATAAATGCATTGGGAAAACCTCTCAATTTGACCTTTCATTTAATTAATCTTTTACTATGCTGTTACTGTTTGTATACCCCGGACGAGAACTTCTGTGCTCCAGTGGGGCTCTACTTTACCAGCGATGTCTGACCGTGCCTTCACAGTTTGCAGTCCCCAATATGGAAATCTCTGCTATCTGAACTATAAACACTGAATCTAAAGACGTTTTTAAGTCTAATTTTTACTCACATCCTCCCCTCAGCATTTCAGTAGACTGTCAGAAATGTGTGTATATATGTGTATATATGTGTATATATGTGCATGGACTTTAACGTTAACACAGCGCAAGTGAGCACCTCGGTACTAGACACTTAAGAAATCAATTCTTGTTATATCATTCAGTCTTTAAATGTGTTCCCCACCCTTTTCTCATGGGCTTGGTCCCTTCTTGGAACATGAATATTTCCTTAAAACATGTATACAAGTGAAATGCGCTTATAGCTGAACAGTGTAGTCATTTGACCTACAACTGAACCAAACCTCTCTGTATGAATATTTAGGGAGTTTCCCTATACATGTTCTGATCCATTTCATATTCATAGCGTGTACGGGTTACTCCTCTTAGCCATTCATTGGTTGACTGATAGCAAGTCAATGCAGTGTGTCGCTGGATTAGCGCATAAGCAGCCTATACTACCATAATAACCATCCATAATATGTACAGAGTCGTGGTTTATAGTGCGTGCTGGCACCTTGACAGTAACATGACACAGCACATTCCTTTCAACGTGAAACCAATAGCTGATATGCCCGGACAGGTATGCAGGTGTACATCATCGACAGGAATGCAGAAACACCACGAATGTATCCTTTTAACTGTCAAGCACGAGATTGTCCGATAAAACAAGGACAGGTCACTTCGAAAATATACAGTACAACCAGAAATTATTGAGAATTTAAAGATTGAAAAAAACCATTTCACTCATTACTCACGTATTAAATGTGAATATAAGCAGAACATAACTCCAGATTCAAAGACAGGTGAACAGTTAGTATTTTGTCAAGTCACCATGGGCAGCAATGCAGGCTTCAATGCGGCGGGGCATACTACTGATCAAAGAAGTTTTTCAGCAATATTTGTCAGATTGTTCTTATTGACACTTTCCTACATAAGTCCCCAAACATTTTCTATTGATTTAGGTCAGGCTATAGCTTGGCCAATCTAATAATGTCATATTTTGGGTCCGAAACCAGGCCTGTGAATGCTTTTCGAACGATGTTTTGGGTCGTTGTCCTGCTGGAAAATCCAAAAATCATTTCCATAGAACACGTGAGCATATGGAAGTAAACTTTTCTGCCCACCCATGTCCTCAGTTCGTCGAATATCTCATATCCAGTCTCCTCCTCTCTAAATCATCCATACTGAGGATCACTGAAAATGTCGTGCTGCTGGCTGAAGTAAACAAATCAACTTCCTCTTCTCTAAATCAAGGGGCATAACTCTTCACAAACTTATGAAAAAGGATTAACGGAGTTGTCTCTCTTGAATGAAACCAAGCACTTGATAGCTGGTAAAGGTTGTTTATACTAGAAATACAATTAAACATATTCCTAAAATTCTCAATAAATTTCTGGTCATACTATAGTTCGATATATGAACGAAATATCCTTACAATCCACCGTTAAACCAACTGCCGCACCACAAGCTTTTGAGTAAGCTAATTATTCAGCGACACGATTTGCATTGCTTGTTAATAGTGATATCCACGGAAGGCGACCTGTTCGCCGCAAATCCCCTCGTCACAGTCCAATTGCTCTGCTATATGTACGACGCTGTGCTTTTCCCGAATGCACGCTGTATTGGCCCGAGCCATGAAGTGTGTGTTAACTCTATCCCAAAGTACCACGACGGGAGATACCAGAAACGCGCTATAACAACTGACAACCCCTCAAGACTATCGCGTTCAAGAATGGCGAGCGTTTATATCTTTAACGCCAAATGGTAAATCGAAACTCACATCTAACGCGACAATGCCACCAAGGCAATAATTTGAGGCAATAATTTTTTATTCCAGCAATATCACTGCAAGGGGACACTAGAAAGTGGCATTCATATTGGCTTGACAAGTACTAGCTTTAACTAGACTACCCATCCAGCGTCTCTCTCTCTCTCTCTCTCTCTCTCTCTCTCTCTCTCTCTCTCTCTCTCTCTCTCTCTCTCTCTCTCTCTCTCTCTCTCTCTCTCTCAACATTTTGGTGAAGGGTCTCTCTCTCTCTCTCTCTTAGTTTACAGATAAATAATAGTTTCCTGATGACATCCTCAGCAATCTCATTTGAAACATTACTTTCTTCTTTATTTTCCAGCACTGTTATGCTGTCATTGTGAAGTAACATTGACGTCATCTATACATTTGATGAACATCAACGGCCATGTGACCTTCAAGCAATCTGCTGTGAATCAAGCTACGTCCGTGACCTTCAACCTGACCGGCGTTACAGGTAGCCTTCAATGGGAGCTGAGACAGTCCTGGGTAGACTTCACGGTGAAATATAAGTGTGGGGACATGGTCATTGGAACCAGGTAAGATATCAACACTTCCCCGGAATGAGAGAGTGATTGTGTCTGGTTTAACTCCGGAATAGCGTATATGTCACTGTGTCTCAGGTGTGGTGGGGTAGCCTAGTGGTTAAAGTGATCCCGCGTGACGCTGAAGACCCGGGTTCGATTCCCCACATAGATACAATGTGTGAAGCCCATTTCTCGTGTCCCCCGCCGTGATACTGCTGGAATATTGCTAAAAGCGGCGTAAAACCATACTGACTCACTGTCTCACTCCAATGTGGGTGGGAAGCCCACAGCAAGGAAACCCTTTGATGAATGGTACTCGCCTCGGGTCATAATCAGGGTGAATCTTGGATTCGAACCTACCATCAGTGACACTTGTGGATGGGTATTGTACTGCGTCGCTGTTAGCACCATTCCAACAATATGACGGCGACGTACACCACAAAGGTGTACATATGGTACCTATATGGAGAACCAGGGCTTTTGGCGTGAAAAGCAAACGCTCGACTACCCTTCCGCTCCAATGGGGGTTAGCACCGGCAACAAGGTCACACATCATAATGTTAACGGGAAATACTGAAATCCGACCTTGACCTTACGCGTGAAGACCTGATGTAACCTCCACAGATGGACGCGTCTGGTAAACCCAGAGCTAACCTTGATCTCCCACTCTAATTCAAAACCTGTCCTTGAGTCGAACAGATGTTAGTTTGGGCTGCATTTCTTTAAATCTAGTTACGATCTTAGAAAAAACAAACTCCATTTAAAACACACGTGTTCTTGACATCCAGCGTAACAGGGTTGTATTTTTTAAATTTGTTTGCATTCGGAATCCACCTATCATATTCTGTTTGAAGGTACAGGTATTAAATATGTTTGTGTGAATGCTTTATTTACTTACCGAAGACTAGCAAAGTTTCTCTGGTCGATCCCCTAAATAACAAGTGGCTGGTCCTTACACGGAAAGGAATGGTTTAGGAATAGATGTACTGATTTCAATTTCCTTGGATACTAAGACAGCTATATCCTATTTTTGTTCACAGTCTCCCTAATATTGGATCCACCATTTCTACGGGCCAAGAGACATTAACGATACAATCCAGCGTCGTTTCCGATTTGTCCGACCTAATGGGTGAGTACATGGTCCATTAGGGTACTTTCTGTACAACTACTTCAATATCTGGACTAGATTTATTGTGTGAGTGAGTTAAGTTTTAAGCCGCACTCAGGAATATTCCAGCTATATGACGGCGGTCTGTAAATAATCGAGTCTGGACTAGACAATCCCGTGATCAACAGCATGAGCATCGGGAACCGATGACATGTGTCAACCCAGTCAGCGAGTCTGACCCCCTGATCCCGTTAGTCGCCTCTTACGACAAGCATGGGTTACTGAAGACCTATTCTTACCCGATCTTCACCGGACTGGATTTAATACAACAGTAAGGTGTGTTATGGATGGCCAGTTAGGCAAAGTATCGTCATCGTGGGTAAACATGTAGGACCACCAGAACTCCGGCTTTCACTCCCAGATAAAGCAGGCACGTCATCATGCAACTAAAATACTGTTCAACATATGACGTTAATCCCAGCTCATAGAACACTGGTTGAAGATATCGTAACTAAAGCATCAATTTAGTGAGGTGGGATGTACAGTTTGCGGCTGGAACTGTGGGGGAACCTTGTGGTTAAAACGTTTGCTCCCTACCCCGAAGACCCAGGTTCGATTCCCATATGGGTGCAATGTGAAGCCCATTTCTGGTGTCCCCGCCGTGATATTGCTGGAATATTGCTAAAAGCGGTGTAAGACCATACTCACTAACTCAGTTTCTAGCTGATATTACTACGCACTACCAACTCACCACTGCAATATTCCTCCGCCAGTTCGCCCATTGCAGATGCGCTATTTAGTTTGGGTTAAACTGAATGGACACAGTATATCGGGATCTCCGTTTGGGGTGATGCTGCGTCCATGCTATTTCGAACTACTTGAGACAAAATATGATATATTGATATTATTTGCCCTGAAATATACCCCGATATGTATTTTTCCCCTGTGTATTTTCCACACGTTATGCTGTCAGTATACTCGTATACCCTTTCAGTATTCCCGTTGTTGTACCCCTAATGCTCAGTCAACATCACAGTTATGGTTTATCAACATACCCGTCATTACCCACACCATTCCCAAGATAGCGATGTACGGAACAAAGCATGAAATCTCACCAAAACTCGCAATAAACGTGTTTCCATCGTACATGATTCCACGATATCGCTCATTTCCATGATAAATACTAGATATGGGACTGTGACGTCACTTCCGATACGAATCAGTGGTGATGAGGTCCAGGGCATGTATAAAAATGGAATGGAGATCTAATACTCTTGATCATCGTCGATGTTCCTACATTTTTTCTCATTATTACCAGGTCGGTCCCTTCTCCTAGCCAACGGCAGCGACAAGGCCTGTGGGACCCTGGTGATGCCGTCCGCCCAGTACAGAACAGCCTCCGTCCAGTTCCAGGGCTCAATAAACGGGGAGATCTGGTTCCGCCAGGCTGAAGGGATGAGGACAGAACTTCGGGTCGACCTCTTTCAACCAGCTTCAACAACCACAGACTATGCGTGGAAAATATACTCAGGGACGGTACCAAATTGCAAAAGCCTAACTGCACTCTTTGACCCTTCTTCAAAATCCGCAGGAGCATGTTCGACTAATAACCCAGGCGCATGCGCTGTCGGTGACCTGACCGGAAGGCTTGGCAGGGTGATGGTTGGCGCCACAGCAGGATCAGCCCGGAAGTTTGTCCACGATATGTATCTGAATCTGTCAGGAGACGCCAACATTACGGGCAACACACTTGTCCTCCTTGACAATGCGAATATGATTGTATCTTGTGGGAAGATCATGGCGGTCACAGAGAAACAAGCTTCGGCTGTTTTCAACAAAGCCGGCGTTGTAGGAAGTGTTCATTTCAAACAAGCATCACCTTTCGAACTTACAGAAATTTCTGTCGCTCTGTCGAGACTGGCCAGGAAAGCAGGAGGGTACCACGTCCATTTGTATCCTGTTCCTTACCAACAACACAGCCAGCCAGCAACTGTGTTCTCAAGATGCAGTAGGTGGACATTGGAACCCTTTCGGCATGCCCTTCCCGACCACTGGTTCGACTACAGATCGTTTCGAGGTCGGGGACATCAGCGGAAAGTTTGGAAACCTTGCTGATAGGGATTCATACTATCAAACGATGAAAGACTATAACATGCCAATGTTCGGGCCGTACAGCATCATTGGAAGGTCGGCTGTCGTTCATAAAAGTGTCGCAGGTGCGCCGAGGTGGATATGTGCCAATATCAACGACTTACGCCCCAGATCTTTCGCTGCTGCTACTTTTAAGTATCCCATTATCGGTAAGGTCATTTTCAGCCAGGCAGTGGGGGACCCCATGTCGGACACATGGATCTTTGGCCAACTTAACTATGCAGATGGAACCGCCAATCCTAGCCAGGGCCACCGCTGGAGTGTGCATGAGAATAAGGTCGGCGATGACGCGATGAAAACACCGGGTCGGTGCGCCTCCGTCGGCCCAATCGTCAACCCGTTCAGGGCAAACATGTCAGGAGATTACTCATCTCAGTGTAAGATGTCCAACCCCTTACGCTGTCCAGTTGGAGCTATGACAAAGTTAACAGGTGCCCTGAAAATCAGATTACAAAATGGTGCCCCATCCAAGTTCTTCTTTACGTCTAGGAATGTACCCCTTAGTGGTGCTGCTAGTGTCGTTGCAAAATCAATGTTGATCCTTTCCAAGGACAATGGAGATGCTCCTCTAGCCTGTGCTGACATGATTCATCTAAGAACACGATACGCTACCGTTGACAAGTGGGTTCAGAATGTCACTGGGTTTATCAACTTTACTCAAAATCACGGTGACACCAGTGATGATACTTTGGTTTCGATCGACATCGAGAATCTTGGTCGGCAAGCTGGTGGCTACCACATCCACGAGCTTCCAGTGCCGTCCGATAGCAAGAGTCCCTGTTCGGGCGCAAGCGTGGCTGGACACTATAATCCTTTTAAGGTTATCATAGCCAATAGTCCGTCCCCTACAAATGGAACCTACGACCAATTTGAGGTCGGTGATCTGAGCGGCAAGTATGGCCTGCTGAATAACGAATCGTCGGAGGACATCGAAAAGCGTGACAACATGATCAATTTGTTTGGTCAGTACAGCGTCGTTGGGAGGTCTGTCGTCATACACAAGATGGTTGCAGGTGCTCGCTGGACTTGCGGCAATATCACGGAGGATGTGTCGATGACTGGCGGTATGAAACATATGGCGAAAGCTATGTTCAATGCCAGTCACTCGGGTATCAGCGGAAGTGTCACTTTTGTAAGTAGAACCGACAAAAAATCATCATTTTCATCATCATAATTATTTATTATCATTATCATCATCATCATCATCATCACACTGCGAACTATTAAACGTCGTTGTTATATTCTCGCCATTATTTATCACACGATCATTTGAATAGTAGGCATTCAAATTCCATTCTCTTCTTCCTGTGAGTGTGAAATTGTATAGGTAATGTTGGGATACCATGTTGGGATGCTGTTGGGATGACTTGATTGCATGTCAACTGTTTCTGTTTCAGACCCAGTACGTGTACGCCGATGGAAGCATGAGCGACACCACCGTCTTTGCCAATCTCGTCGACCCCGACGGCAGGAGTGTGAGTATTACCCTCAGCTTCGTGGCCATGCCTGAACATCTTTCTTCAATTATCCCTCTTAATTTCCATCCCAACAGTAAAGATCCGGATTAGAATTGATCCTCAGCAACCCATCGTAAGAGGCTGACTTGGTTGACACATGTCATCGTATCCCAGCTGCGTAGATCGATCGTCATGTTGTTGATCACTGGATTGTCTGGTCCAAATTCCATTATTTACAAACTCACTCACTCTTTCCTCCCCCTCTCTCTCTCTATATGGCGGCGGTCTGTAAATAATCGAGTCTGGACCAGACAATCTCTCTCTCTCTCTCTCTCTCTCTCTCTCTCTCTCTCTCTCTCTCTCTCTCTCTCTCTCTCTCTCTCTCTCTCTCTCTCTCACTCTCACACACACACACACACACACACACACGCGCGCACTCGCATCCTCAACTACATAGTTTTATGTTTCTTGTAGACAACAGGACATATGATGGCCGTCGGTAGTCGATCAGCTTGGGGCGACCGGAAGTCAAGCAGCAAACGATGTGACAGCGCAGGCGCGAAGTTCAACCCTTTTCTCGTCAACACCCAAGTACGTATTGTGTCATTATTTCTTTCGTCCACACTTCTGCCTCCAAATTAGAGGGCGGTGGCGTAGCTAGTAGTAAAAGCGTTCGCTCGTCACGCCGAAAACCCGGTTCGATTCCCAACATGGGTACAAAGTGTGAAGCCCATTTCTGGTGTCCCCTGCCGTGATATTGCTGGAAATTACTAAAACTCACCCACTCGCCCATTGAGGGACACGGGTGTCCAGTTGTCGAGGGGCGTGATTTCATTATGCAAAGTTACACTCCTTTGGTTTTTTAAAAAGGCCGTTCCTGTTGAAAAGTCTTCATTCATATGTGTCGTTGCTAAGCAATCTCTGTTGCCATGTTGATAACAGGTACGAAAATGTACAATGATTTTGTTGTTCAGTCTACAACTGTTAATTGATCAGTTGTTCGCGTTTCTGTTGTTTTCAATATCATATTTCACTTCACAACTTTCAGACGCGATATTCGGAGTGTTCCATTTCAAACCCACTACGGTGTTCAGTCGGTGACATGTCAGGCAGACTTGGGACATGCAGTGTTGGTGGCAAGAACCTCTACACCGATATCAACCTGTCGATCTTTGGAAAATATTCAGGTATGCCATTAACACGAACACTCGAAATGAGCTGGTCGGATTATGTCCCCAGCTGTTTTACCTATTGGAGTGAGTGAGTTGAGTTTTACGCCGCACTCAACAATATTCCAGCTATATGGTGGTTACCTATTGGAGAGAATGGTCAGTCTCGGTCACTGGCTTGTGCGTGTTGTCCTCCGCCGACCGCACTAAACGTTGTCTGGCTCAGATTCGACTGATAGCTTTCTGACGTGATATTCAGAGAGGTCGTTCATTAAATGCTGTTTCAATGGACTAGCAGGGGCGGTGGGGTAGCCTCGTGGTTAAAGCGTTCGCTCGTCACTCTGAAGACCCGGGTTCGATTCCCCACTGTGTGAAGCCCATTTCTGGTGTCCCCCGCCGTGATATTGCTGGAATATTGCTAAAAGCTGCGTAAAACTGGATTATCTGGTCCAGACTAGATTATTTGCAGACCGCCGTCATATAGCTGGAATATTGCTGAATGTGGCGTTAAACAAACAAACAGACAGACAACTAATCTATTCATGTTTTGTATTACAGTTATAGGACGATCCTTTGTCTTGTACGGCCCCGATGGAAGTACGGACCGCATCGCGTGTACTAACATCCTGCCAATGTCGGCGATGCAGTCCTCTCTCTTCATCGAGAAATCCGCCTCCATGTCAACGTGAGTCTCTTCTGTAGTTCGGTCGGGCGATGTTTTTCCACCTCTGCTTGAAGATATCTGTTTAGTTCATAGGAGATGATACAACTTTGAACCGACATGTTTTCTTCATGACAATTTATTCGAAAATGTCTTTACAAATTATATGAACAATACATTCGGTCCCTCCCCTACATTATATATTAAGAATTCATCGCGAGTGTATTATCAACCGAGTCTTAGTTAATCTGTATTCCGTTACAATTAATCTGGTCCACAGTTTTGAGACTCTGTATCCCTCTAAGAAAAATATCCACTTACCTAGTCTTATATTAAAATGGTCTACATTGAAATCCCCAACCTGTGGGTTGTAGACAACTTTCCCAGGCTACTTATGTTCAAGAGGTGAGAAAGCAGATCTTCTGAGGTCATCCATTTTCAATAGAACAAAAATTCAGTAAATAACGCAGACAGCAACAGCCTCTACAAACACATTGTAAGTGTCTCTATAAAAATGTGTCGGATTATTTTACATGTATTTCGATGCACACTTTAATGGGATTGTCTCTTGTTTAGAATGTATGTGGCGATTTCTAACGAAAGTTTCTTGATATCCCATCATGTGACTGCTCTCTACTGGTTTTCATATGTCGGCCTGCTAATGTGGTCTTAAAGGTTTATTGATAATGTTTTCTGCATTCATGTATCATAACTGATTTTTCTCCCCTTTCCCCAGCCTTGAGATCGCGCGCACGTACGCCAGGGCTTTGGACACCAATGAATGGAACGTCGTGGTGTCTGGAGACGACAGCAAAGGCGACGGATGCATATCGGTGCTTGTCCACTTCATTGGTAGGTTGACTTCTGATCTATCCGTTGTATGGGCTAGGCATAAACTTCATGTAAATAGCTTGATGCTCAAGCTCCGACAGGGGGCGGTGGGGTAGCTTAGTGGTTAAGCCTTACGGCGTTCGCTCATAACGCTGAAGACCCGACTTCGATACCCCACATGGTTACAATGTGTGAAGCCCATTCCTGGCATCCCCCGCCGTGATATTGGTGGAATAGCGGCGTAAAACCAAACTCTCACTCAAGTTCCGACATATGCTGTTATAAACACCCGAAGAATATTTGAGTGGGTATTGTTTTTCGGCGATTTTAGCGGTATTCCAGGAATGTCATCCAGAGGGGGGACACTTTGTAACCCAATTTGTAACCATGTGAAAAACCGAACCGGGTCTTCAATTCGACTAGTGCTGTAACTAGGATACCTAACCGTCACGAAACCATTTAAAGAGTGAGTGAGTTTAGTTTTACGCCGCATTTAGCAATATTCCAGCAATATCTCGGCGGAGGACACCAGAAATGAGGTTCACACATAGTACCCATGTGGGGAATCGAACCCGGGTTTTCAGCGTGACGAAAGAACGCTTTAACCACCAGGCTACCCCACCGGCCCCCATTTAAAGAAAGTGGTCAAGAGAGAAGCGACTTAGCCGATGCATGTCATCGTGTCTCAGTTGCGTAGATCGGTGCTCATGATGTTGACCACAGGGTTGTCTGGTCCAGACCCTATTATTTACAGACCGCCGCCATATAGCTGGAATACTGCTGAATAGATTCGTTAAAACAAACAAACAAATGCCATTCAAAGACTTGAATCAAACAAACAACACAAAAATTGGCAACAAATACAACGACTCCAGGTTTACGAAACCCACTGAAGTAACTTTTAAGGGGAGGAATATTCACCTCTTTTAACATTTTGAGTGTCAGCTGTGTAAAGAGCAACGAGACAACGTCACCGATACGTCAAAACGTAAAATGCTTGTGTAACTCATGTGTGACTGAAACACATCCCCATCCTCACTGCCCACGTGGAATTCGTGAAAACCCGCTGGACCACTTCGTATTATAACGAGGATATTTTAAAAATATAACTTCCACCAGGGTCTGCATTTATGTCGCTTATATTTTATTCAAACATCACTGGAGTTCTCCTTTTATGTCAGAGTATTTTATGGTTGGTTGAAACCCAATGCCTTATTATGTTCATCTACACAGGTAATAACGCAAGCGGATTGCGAGCCCGTTTCAACCAAATGGTTTCGCAAGGAGGTAATGGGAAACTGGGGGCGTTCAGTCCCGTGACGTGCTCAGCAGGTGAGTCAGCGAGAAACATACAAAACCCAACAAGAACACATGTGATGCGATACGAAGTACCAACACGATGCAAACTCTTTGTTCAGAATCTATTTGCACTAAAATAATCTGCCTAGAGACATTTCCACAAACTGTTAGAAATAGTGAGTAAACGTTATTCAAAATATTGTATCAACACGCACACATTTACAAAAGAAGAGGTGAGGTGAGGTGAGGTGAAATTGGGTTTAACGTCGTGCTTGAGAATATTTCGCTCATATGACGACGTGCATGCGTGTGTATGTGTATGTGCGGCTGCTTGTACTAGCCCAGACGTAAGCTGGTTTTATAGTGCTAGCCCACTGAGATACCACGCCGCAGTGAAGCATGAATACTCCACTCAGACACATTATACTGACTCCGAGCCGACCAGTCCTTGTTGTACCCATTAATGCCGAACGCCAGGCAGAGACCAACAAGTACCATATTTTAACGTCTTTTGGTATGACGCGGTCGGGGATCGAACCCGCGACCTTCCGCTCTCCGGGCGGACGCTCTTACCACTACACCACGGAGGCGGTCCTACAAAAGAAGAACATAATGCATGTTCAAATTCATTCTTCGATCTATAATTGATATGTTTCACTTGTTGAAATCCATGTCACAACTAGAATGTTATTTTCTGGGGAGTTAACAAAAGATATTTTAAGGCTAAATATTGCAATATTTGAATTATTTGTGAAATTTCCAAAGATAAATATATGTTTGTAAAAGTGTGTCCGTTGTAGGATTATACGAAAAAACTACATTTATAGTTGATCTATGTTTTTGGAATGCTGGAAAATTGTAGTAGTAAAAGACATCCCATTTTGTAGCGTAACAATTGATAATAATTATTATGCATAATGGTATTTTCTCTTTCTTTTCAGATAAGCTCGGTGTATCCATTGTGTTGGTCAGCCTGTTATTATTATGCAAGAAGATTATCTTATGATTGTAGCATGCCCATATGTTCACTACAGTTTAATTAACTAAAAATAACAATGATTTATGAGTAAAATTTTAAAAGGATCTGAAATGAGTTTATGTCAAAATGTGATTAGGATAGGCCAGGTGTCTGTCTTCAAATAGAGTCGTGACAACTGGGTGAAATATTGTTCTTTTAGTCGCACAAACTACGCAAAAAGATGAGTAATCTTTAAAATCAACTGCCCCTTTTATATTTTGTTATAATCCAGGGTTCCGTTGTACAAAGCAACCTTAGCGCTACGCCTGTCTGTCTTAAGGTATGGGAGTTACGATCACCTTAGCGCTACGCCTGTCTGTCTTAAGGTATGGGAGTTACGATCACCTTAGCGCTACGCCTGTGTGTCTTAAGGTATGGGAGTTACGATCACCTTAGCGCTACGCCTGACTGTCTTAAGGTATGGGAGTTACGATCACCTTAGCGCTACGCCTGTCTGTCTTAAGGTATGGGAGTTACGATCACCTTAGCGCTACGCCTGACTGTCTTAAGGTATGGGAGTTACGATCACCTTAGCGCTAGGGTTTCTTTGTACATGGGCACATACGTGTTAATGTTCGTGACCCGAGAGTATGATTACATCATGTGTTATTGTATCAATTACAACATATTGGGTGGATTCGAATCCAAGCCTAGGTCCTCAGCGCCATACCCGAGCCCGTGGGCTTCATCAAAGAGGTCTGAGACAAGCATTTACTCCGGGCCTCCCTCCCACACGAAGCTGACCGCCGTGAAATAACTGGAATGCTGTTCAAAGCGGCGTTAAACCCAGCTGACTTAAGTCCGTCGACATCTTCAGGTTCACACATCCCCATGTTGAATGATGTTAAGTGAGACAGTGGTTGTGATATTGAATCCATGGCTATGTGTCTATGTCCATGTTGTCAGCGCGGTATAGGTTTGCCAGCCGCTTGTTTTGTGATTCTCTCGATTTTTTGTGTGATTCTTGCGCATTTTTTGTGATGTATGGAGTTATTTTTCCTGCTTCATCGGCGTAAACACGATATTATATTTTTTTGAAATAATGATAACCGTTTTACACCCCTATAATAGAAGCTTGCAGAAAAAGATGTTTGTGTATTCTTTTTTCCAAAAGTCATTATCACAACTAGGTTAGGGCTTTTCAATACATATAATGTATATTTTTAGGTCTGTTTTGTTGGGGTTTTTATATAAAAGCTCCTCAGATTCACAGTAAAATGTATATAGTGTTGTACTGAGTTATGGAGTCCTGCTACTGTTTAATGTGGTGTTCTGTACGTATGCGGTCCTCAAGGGCGTACCTCAATATATCCATGGTGTTCAAATATTTGAGTTGGTGAGAACACACTCACATACACACACACACACACGCAAACTCACACATGCACACGTACATGCTTAGGCATGTGAAGAAAATATAGACATTTTCGGGAAACTATTGGAGTAGTGGTTCAACTAATCAAGCAGTATCTGAATAGTGCTTCTAACAATTGAAATACATAGAGCACCACTCATTATCGTCACTAATCTCTACGTTATCATGCAGATGCAGTTAAAACTAAACGTGAGAACAGAAACTGTTTGTAGCGACCAAGGTTGCTAGGCTTGTAGCGAAGGTTTGTATATTTGTCTCACTCCTCCACACATCTCCGTTATTTTATGGTACGTGTCAAGGTGGGGTTGTGTTATTTTGAATACACTGGATACTGGAGGCGGTAGTTCGGACACGGCCGTAATGTGGTACCAAAAGCTTGGTGTAGTATGTCATGCAGCATTAAACACGTGTTATGTCCCGTAAGTAATAAGGTGAACCCCGAAATCGGTTTGAACCGAACTAAGTCAGTATAAATAGACACGCATGATATTGAAATACACGTGTTCAAAGTTACAATCGGAAAATGCAATACTGTCAGTACACCGAATCAAATGAAGACCTCCACTACACAATAACAGGCACTATTGGTCTGGGCTGTCACAAATGGCGATGTTGTCCGACAGGTGTCCCTTCTGTTCTTGGCAAGTAGAAAGACACAAGTCAGGTCGCAGTGATCTCGACTCGCCCTCGTAGCGCAGTTTTATAGGTACAGCTAGAATTATAGAAACTGCTAGGTGTGTCCAATCATGTTGTTTGAATTAACAGATGTAATCAAGCTTCTTACAACTTCTGAAATACCACTCAAAGAAGCTTCTCACAGCGGATCTCGGTACTATCCGAAGGATAACAGGTGCAAGCGCTGTAACGGAGCTTGGACTAATAAACAGCAAAGGGACGTCACTCTAACTTACGCGCGGCCTTGGGCTATGCTTGACACTTTATGAGCGCCTCATTTCCTGCCACTAACAATCATCAGAAATAAATCCACAGTAATCTCATGCTTCATAAAACATGTATTAATATGTTAACTTATGTATGAATTTTCTATGCACATATTTCTAATTTCAGCAACGACTGTGTTCATTTGATATATTTCATACGTGCTTAAGTCATTAATGAACTCTATGGTTTGTGAGATTAAGTCGGTTTTATGTATCATGTCGTAATCTGCTGGGTCAGCAAATTGTCTTCTTCATACGTGTATATTTGAGCAGGTCATTAACCAACTATTGATCATGTTTAAAGTTAACATTGTTTTTCTAAAGTGCTCAATATTTTATATGTGTCAGCTAAACTTCCCCCACGAATATTAATCATATATCCGTTTATCTTCAGTATTGAGGACTATGTTTAGTGGGTTTTGTTTAGTTTTCATATGTTATTGTAAATAAACACATCATTTGTATAAAAGTGTTGTTTAACAGCAAATACATATTTTTAACACACGCACACGTGTTCTTATATTTATCCATCTCTTCACTGTCTTCGAGTCAGCAATCTTCCAGCTTTCTGACAGCGACCTTAGGACTTGATCAGCCATTCTAGTGGTTGATAATAACACAAGCAACCCACACTGTGTTTGATGACAGGGGCGGATACAGCTTTTGGAAAAAGGAGGGGTGCACACTCTTGAGAAAAGGAGGGGTGCACACTTCATTCTCACCCGTTGTCCTGGGTTATTCAATAAACTTTCAGGACAAAAGGAGGGGTGCGCAGCTCTACACTCCCCTTCTCTATCCGCCTATGCATGACACGCAGACCACTCCACAAAACCTCACCATTCATCGGGTGCGGTGGGGTAAACTAGTGGTTAAAGCGTTCGTTTGTCACGCCGAACACCCCGGTTCGATTCCGTTGGTTGGATTGTTGCGGGTTCAATTCCGAACATATAGGTACAATGTGTGAAGCCTATTCTGGTGTCCCTCGCGGTGATAGTGCTGGAATATTGCTACAAGCGGCGTAAAACTAAACTCAGTCACTAACTTATCACTTCCGTCCTCTTGGACAGTCTAACCCGGAGCTCTCGTGGAGCCTTGGTTTGCGAAACTGACATCCTGAAATTGGTAGAGTTTATACAGCTGCTGTTGCTGTCGCTGTCGATGTCGTTAACTTTAGCTGCTAGATGATACGATACCGGTGAAGATCCGGGTTAGAATTGGTCTTCAGTAATTAACCCAACCGATGCTTGTCGTAAGAAGCGACTAACTGGATCGGTTGGTCAGGCTCGCTGACTTGGTTGACACATGTCATCATATCCCAATTTCGTAGATCGATGTTCATGATGTTGACCACGAGATTGTCTGGTCCAGACTCTATTTTTTACAGACCGCCTCCATACAGCTGGAATACTGCCGAATGCGGCGTTAACAAAACAACCAACGATGATACGATGTCACATCCGACACATAAAAGCACCAAAGAGACTTCGCAGTGACATGATATGTCTCGAGTGTTTTTTGGGTCAAGGAAAACCTGTTTTGTCAAGTGGTCTACTCCACAATACTGACACACACACGTCAAGGCAGAATGGCTGTGTGTACAGATGTAAGGCCACAGAATTACCCTCTGTGTTTACACGCTTGAGTGGGACAGGTAGTCTCCCGACATTGTGTATGCACTGTTATCCGAGTAAGGCTTGTCCCACTTTAAGTAGTAGGGCTCCGTGGCATCGATGCGGAGAAGATAGGGCCAATCCAATTAATAGGTAATGTGGTAAAACGATCTGTTGATGGGGAAATATATAGATGTGAGGGAAGGATGGAGAGCTATGTTGAAGGCTGGAGCGACTTGTGGGGAAATACGTTAGATGAAAGAACGAATGCGATGCGAGCGATGCAATCGAGTTTAAACCATTTTCACACGGATCACGTGAACACTCATATCGGGGCTCCCTGCGGGCCATGGGTTTGCTCTGCAAATAGACAATTACGGCTCTAGCTAGGACCTCTAAAAAGGGGATGGTTATGAAAATGTGGCATGGCGTTGGTATCAAGGACTTGCTGTTCACAACACGGATCACTGAGTGTCCTAGATTCTGCAATGAGATCCAATTTGTAGTCGAAACGCAACCAATCAGTGAGCCACCACCAAAGGGTTCAGTTGCATGGATCATATCCCGATGATATATCTCGTGCTACATCTCCATACGGCCGTCAATAACGTCGACAATATAGGGAACCCAACGCCATGTCCCCAAATTAGCGTTTTTCTCGGAGCCTGCACTACGTCAGACGTTCCTGTCTGCGCCTATATGTGAGGAAGGCACGCCTGATCAACCTACTTGGCTTCAGGCCGACAGCCTCCTTCTGACTCTCCGGCGCAGTTCTTCGTCATGGGTCTTGGGACTCCGCCTAGCCAGATTAAGTAGGATTCGGTCATCACGGCTGTTCGGCCTTCATCGGTCTTCAAGGTCATGGACGATTGTTTACTCCACCGATGACCACGTGTTCCCTCACAAATCGACTAATAACCTTATGATCAATGTTCAGGTCAACACCGATGTTGCAGGACATCCCTCCGTCATGCATGCCGGTAACTTGCCACCGTGTATCGTCTGAAAGTCTACGTCTTGACAAATCCCCACATGGGTACAATGTGTGAAGCCCATTCCTGGTGTCCCCCGCCGTGATGTTGCTGGAATATTGCTAAAAGCGGCGTCAAACCAAACTTAGTCAGTCAGTCAGCTACGTCTTGACACGTCAAGAATAATGAACATTTACATGTAGCACTGATGCAGTTATGAAATGTATACCTCAATGGGCCAAAACATGAAGCTGTTATCCATAAAGTAGTGTGCTTTTACCTGTTTGTACCAACATATTTTAAAATGCCCCTTGATTCAGGTGGTGCCTCAATAAGGCCTATGCGTATATTTAAGACTTGACTTCAAAATGTATGTGTTTATGCAGTAATGTTATCCATGTACGTGTTCCGAGTTTTTGGGGCGGTGG